CACTGTGTTATATTTAGTTGCTGTTTTAATCGGGCACAATGTGAATGAAATGATTTTACAAAACACTGTGTGTTTCCCGTATTTACGTTATTAGTAGCGAAATACAGACATTAAATGCCATAAGTTATGCTTACATTATAAACTACAGATGTCTTTGTAATTAATTAAATACTGAACTTTAATTAAAAGTTTCGCAAAACGCCATTACAATCAAGGGAAAAGTTGCTTTATCCCCTCCTACCTGACCAATCCCGCCTGTACCTATTTTTGACGATGAAATGCATTTAAAAAATCCTGACCAACTTACAGTTAATTAACCTGGAATACATAAAATCTAAAAAACATTACCACGAAACCAAAAATATAAGAATTTTGAATATACAGATGTATTCTATATGCTTAACTGATATGAATTACGCATAAAATTATGCACATTGTTAATTTTTATAGTAATCATTTGCAAATTAAATTTTTAAAATACAATTATTTCAAGTTTTAATTTTGGCGCTTATAAACATAATTTATGCACTTATATTGTCTGTAGTCATTCTTAATATTACTCAAACTATATTCAATAATTTAATAAAGTGTTTTTAATTAATGAAACACAGTAATATACAGTATTTGTACTATCGAATCAAATTTAATACAAGACATAAACTAGATTGGTATAAAAATGTCATGATAGCTTTAGTAATATTTATGCTGTGTTATATTATAGGCATTGCAACAATTAGTAATTAAAAATGTAAATGCTTAATTTGTGACGAACACAGAGATATCACCATAAGCAGGTCCACTTAAAGAAAGAAACAATATCTCACCACTCTATCACTCAAAACACACAATATCACACACAGACACCCAATTTTAGGAAACACAACTCACCTAACATTTTCAGACAAATGTCTTAATTAGCACGCAAATACAAAAAACAACACATTTCAATGCATTTCATCACCCAATTCAACACAATCAAATAACTATGTCTTTTTATCGTTTAAATTGATTTGACAATCAATACACAATTAAATTATACCAAAAATTATACACATTTTGGCACAAAAATCAGGCGATACACATCATCAATTGTCTAACAAAATGTTCCAATATCCTCGTTGCCTGGCAATATTTTCGACTACATTCATTGGCAACATACACATACTATGGCTCGTCTATATTTTAACTATTATTCTTTAACATTATTATGTTTATTTTATGTTTAATCAAATATATTTGATAATTACAAATTTATTAAAACTTATTAAACTCTATTTGATTAAATTACATAGTTTAGTTTTTGATTTTACTTTACTATATAATCACGTTTATTCTAATGGCATGTTGCCCAATTATTTCTATTATTTTAATATTACATGTATTTTTATTTTTAAAATAAATATTTTGAGCATTATATGCATTACTTGTTTATATTTGTTGTTTATAACTAAAAATTTTAATCATGATTCTGTATTATAATTGAGATTTAACCGATAGCTATACCCCCGCCTGAACCCTTCTCCCTTCATTGAAAATAATATGTCATTCAGTATATAGTTATAATTTAACATTATGTTTGTTATTTTATGGTTATATATTGCTAATCAGTTTATACGTATTAAACGTTATAAATTACAATTATTTTAATATTTTTTACTTTGATTTTACATCATTTTAATTTTTACTCTAAATAATTAATCCAGTGTTATTTTGTATAGTTGGTCAGGCACCTTATGTGACGTAATTTATGGCAAAAAGCATGAGCATCGGCACCAGTAAAAGAAGACTTGATTACAATGACAAACTAATACAAACTAACTTCCACCTTGGTTGGGATCTTCTGCCCCTGATAGTAGACATGTCGAGGACCAGGGTATTTTCCAATATTTGATACTAGATGCTAATCATTTAATTGTCAAATGATTTTTTAATCACCAATTTGTCACAACTTTGAACCGGAAATGAATACTCCTTTAATTAAATTTTAAACATCAATTTTTATTTAAATATTTTATGTTGAAGTTATAAAACATTTTATTCATACTTTATTAGCACTAAAATAAGTATAATCTAGTTATAATTTAAATATTTAAGTATAAACCATTTACTTATCTTAACAAATGTTTGTTTAATATGACATCAAATATAATAATTAGTTTTAATTAAAAATATCTTTCAAAAAGTTTCAAATAATTAATTAATTGTTTAATACAAACCACTGTTATCTCCAATTAGACAATCAATTGTTGGTTAAATCCAATCGCAAATCCAAACCCGAATTAAAACTTACCGTTAGTTCACGGCATAAATCCATATCCACTTCGGGAACAAACACTCAAACAAATGGACAGATAATCATATAATAGGGAAATAGTCTATCAATTGAAACCCCGATTCAAACACTGAATTAAAACCTCAATAAAATCAACTCAAACTTCAAATATAAATTCCGATAAATGTTTGCAATAATAACAACACTAATAAAACTCTATTAAAACTAATTAAACAAAACTAACAATAAATTCTATTAACTATTTGATTGTTAACACTAATAAATGGGTCGACAAGTAATGGTTGGCACAACTCTGGCGACTATCATATCCTACAAAAATTGAAAGCATTTATCAATTAATTTATAACAAATTCATAATAAAACACATGATTAAAGTTGTTATACAAAACACACGGATAGAGCGGTTTCGCGCAAAACCACTGGTAATCCTAATCCTCCTCTTATGGACACAAAACAATAGGAAAATCCATTGCATTTGCAATCGGTTTGCATCTAATTGTCTTAAGACAAAAGCGTTTATAAGGCAATGGCATGTCTTGTGGTAATTGTCTGTTGAATAGCAGTTAATCCTAATCCTATTCCTCCTGAGTGGACAACAGACACAACATATCACAGACACTGGTCTCCTATGCACTGATCGGTCATCTAATCCTTTGCATTGATTTCTAAAGCAATTGACAGTCAGTCATATCCTTCCTCTTAAGCAATGGATCCGTTAAATGGCATTCAATGTCTGTCTGTATCTCCTCTTAAAGCATTGCATCATTAATAGCGGTTCCTTAAGCACCGGCCTCTTCAGCGCCAGTCCTTTAACAGCAATTAAATCAAATGATTAGTTAATCCGTTTGTAAATTGGTTTACATATCATTAGATATCCTCAGCGCTGCTCCTAATCCTTAATCCTTCAGCTCCTGTACTGTCCTGTCCTTTGGTTGTGCGGAGACATCAGTGGACGGGCAGTGATAGTGAGAGTCCTATTGGCTAATCCTATGGTTATAGTCTTAATGTCTCCGCTTCTATGGACAAATCCTAATCCTCTTAATCCTCACATAGATATGCATCACATGATTGTTATGTTTATTAAATCCATTGCATTATATAGTATGGCAGTAGAGAACTGGAGGAATGGCATTGGCATCAGAATAGGCATCAGTGGTTATCATACAATACATGCAGAGTTAATCCTAATCCTAAGGCATTTCAGTGGTTATTAGATCCTATTGAGTGGTTATTAATCCTAATTTGTTATTAAATCCTATGGCAAACAGTATTGGGGGCACAGATATAGCTGGGGGTCGACACCTCCTCTTCGCGCACAACAAAACATCACACAAAACACATCCAATGGTTGACACAATTAATGGCCACAAAAAGTATTTGCTTTTTATTGTATTTTACGTTAAGTTTGTTTTGCATTTGAAATCTAGAAAAAAATGTTTTTCACACAAATTTGATAATTGATTTGTAATTGTTTTTTGTCTGTTTGTTTGGATCCGCTTCGAGACGTGTCACAAGACTTGATCCGCACAACAAGTGGTGCTTTTAGTTGTGATAATAATAAAACAATTTTGTTTATGTATTGTTTGTAATAATAATAATAATAATTAAATATGTAATTAATTAATAATTGAAATATAAGATTAAATTAGCGCTTAAGAGATGAGAGATTAATTCATTTGATAATCAGTTTTAAGACATTTTGTTGAAAACATTGGCGTCGCTTAACCGGTGTTTACGTACAGTATATGTGTGTCAATGGGTGGGTATGGATGGCAACGGTATGGGCGGTCAGAACGGGCTCTTTAGCATCGGTCCGACCACTCATACCGTCGATTGATTTCCCGGTTATATAATGAATACAAATGACAACAATTCGGGTATAAAAAAAACGGGGAAAACACACAAAAAAAACGGGACTAAAACTACAGGGAATGGGAGGCAAATGGTTTGCATAGGAGAGAGAGAGAGAGAGAGGCGGGAACGGGGAATGGCTATCAATGGGTGATATATTATAGTTGTACTGATAATACCCAACCGCGCGGTGGGGGCCAAACCCTCCAACTAGACTATACACTACAGCCCACACACAACACACACGTGTATACCCGTACACAACACACACGTGTATACCCGTACACAACACACCGGCGAACACCTCTTACTTCGATAGGGATCGAGAGCGCGAGTGCGACCTCGATCTGGACCTCCCAGACCTCGACCTCGAGGCCGATCGGGAATGATTGCGGGCCGGGCTATAGGTGGGCGAACCGCGCGACCGGCGGGGCGGCGAATACGACCGGGACCTACTGCGCGAACGGCCGCCACTACTGCCGCCGTAGTCTTCGCGCACCCGTATGTACGCCACTTCGCCCTAAAACGTGTCAAAACAATTGGTTTTAGCATATGATTAGAGTACAGGGATAGGGGGAGGGCTGGTGTGTGTTGGCCACACACTCACCTCATGGGACCGGAACCGGGAGTCGTCCAACTTTTTCACCGCGTATTTCATGTCTTCGTAGCGCAAGAACTCGACAACACCGGTGCCATCCTTGAACACGTCGGCATAGCATACGTCGCCCGCTTCGCGCATGTGATCCTTCAGGTCCTGCCAACTGCCGGTCGGCGGCAGACCTACCGGTGGCCCACAAAAAACAGCCATTAGTTACCCATAACTACACATAAATACCCGAATACTATACCAGAAACGGTGACTCTGTATTGCGAGCGCCGGGCGGGCGGTCCGCGACCCCTACCGCTGCCCTCACCGCCGCCGCTGGTAGATCTACCACCACCTCCTCCTCCGCCGCCACCGCCTCCTCCCCCGCCACCACCGTCTCGGCTCCGGGAGCCGCCCGACGTGAACGCACCGCCCGGTCCGCGCTCTTTACCTCTGGGGAACTCCACTCGCAGTTTATAGCCGTCGTAGTCGTAGCCGTCGCGCGAGTGGACAGCGTCTTCAGCGTCACTGTATTAGACAATAAACAGATCCGGCGGTTAAGACAAATGTCAAAGACTAAGACTGTGTGTGGATAACAATGGTTTGGGAGTGACAGTCACTGAGACAGCGTGTGTGTGTGCGGGATCAGCTGCTGTGATGATCATCACCATCACTATCACCAATGGCTAGTGATCAGTGATCGCGGGCGATGATCACCACCGATGACTAGTGGCAAAAGACACAGCGGTTTGGGATAGTACTAGTGTGGGATCAGCTGCTGCGGTGATTATCACTGCTGACACCACCACTCATGGGAGGGATCAGTGACAACAACAACACTAACACCACTGCCTCTGACTATCACAAGCCATGGGGCAATGTCTTCGGCTCTGCGGCGGCCAATACATACCGGTTGTCCTCGAACTCGACGAAAGCGAACGGCGGACCCCTTCGGTTCTTCAGGTCGATGAACGATATCTTCCCGAACTTGTAGAACAGGTCTTCGATGTCTTTGGTGCGGATATCCGGCGGAAGATTACCGACATATATGCGACAATCGCTGCGATGGGACGAAGACATTGGCGACGGCGGCTGTGATGTGGGATGTGTTTGGCGGTGATGTCTGTGTGTGTGTGTATTGGCTAGTGTTGTGGCGATAGTCTCTCTCCACAACTATCCGATGGCGGCGTATGTATGGTCTGTCTGTGTCTGTGGATCAGATCGGGTGATGATTGTGTGAAGATTGCACTAAACAATAACACTGTATTCAATGGCAATAATAAACACAACCAATAATATGGAGTCCTTTAACCACAAAATACAATACACTCTCACTATTCAAAACGCACAGCACTTTTGGTACCATTTGTTACGCGCGGTGTTCAGTATGTAATGCATGGGTGTATAAAATAGTACCGATTTGTCGGCCCCTTATGTGCCATACCTTTGTGTTCAGTGAATGCNACCAATAATATGGAGTCCTTTAACCACAAAATACAATACACTCTCACTATTCAAAACGCACAGCACTTTTGGTACCATTTGTTACGCGCGGTGTTCAGTATGTAATGCATGGGTGTATAAAATAGTACCGATTTGTCGGCCCCTTATGTGCCATACCTTTGTGTTCAGTGAATGCAAAAAACACATGTGATTGTATAGTTAACGCATGCGCGCGCCTACAGTGCACTCCCTTTTTTCATACACTCCCTCCCAATCATTGGTAATAAATAACGTTTTGGAAATTTGCTAAAGTAAAGTAAACTGTGCGTTATTATTTTAAGGCACCATCATTGTAAAATATCATTTTAAATGTTCAGATCTTGCATCATTGAAAATTGATTTACATAGAGAGAGATAGGGAGAGAGCATTCAAGTTTGCAACGGTTTTGGTGCGTTTCATAACTTGATGCAATGCATTAGGGTATTTAAAAGCAGTGCAAAAAAGTTACTTGACCCTCATTTCGTCGCGTGCTATCGATAAACAAACATTATCCTAAATATTGAATGCATTTAAAAAAACTAAAATTTAATTAAAAAGTGATTCAAGTTTAAACCTAAAAGTTATTTAATATCAAGTTGTTTAAACGTTTAAGCACTCGGACTAATACAACCCTATTATTTGTGTGATCATCACTTTCGGGAACCATACACACCGAAGCCATGCCCAGAGCTAAACAGGCGCAGACCACCCGCCGCGGGCCCAACCGTGGCCGCCAAGATCGGCCTATACCTGGCCGTAGTGTCGCCCGCAAGAGCACGGGTGGCGTACCCTGGAGTCAACGCCCGGGCCGTACGCCAGTGGCCGCGCGACCGCCGCCATCGCCCACACCGTCGGACGACGAC